CCACCAACCCCCACCCCCCTGCTCCCAAAGTTCCCATGCCTTCCATGGCATTGCCTCAGTTTCCTCAACTGAGCCAGGTACCCGGCCTCCCCTCTACCTTCACCTGATCTCCACCTAGGGACAGGGTCCACTTCTTACTAAAGCTCATGGGTCTTGAGAAGTGAAGCCTGTGAACAATCCATCAGCCTGTGCATTTGTGATTTACAGACATATCTGACAAGGGGTGCCACATTCAGTAAAAAGTTTACTATCTTAAGAGAAGCAGACAGACGGGCACCTTCGTAGTTACGACTGTGATTTACAGACATATCTGACAAGGGGTGCCACATTCAGTAAAAAGTTTACTATCTTAAGAAAAGCAGACAGACGGGCACCTTCGTAATTACGACTTGTGGAGTTGAGGGCTCTCCTGCAATGAGCACACTAGGTTTGTTTCTGCTTAGTTTTTCCGCTAAAAATTAGCAGTCTATTTATTTCTGGTTTATAGCTTTTTTACCCTGCAATTCAGAAAGCCCTTCCCGACTCTCCTTCCCCGCTGGGCCCTCTAGATTTTGTCCCCCAGTGGGTCTCTCCTTTGCAACTTTCTGGCCATTGCCCATCCCAGTGCAGACTTTCACGTCCCTGTTATCCATCTGTTTTGCATATCGTCTAAGTTTGCTCATGGTCTGTAATTAACAACGAAGACATCTGTGTCTGTCTCCCGGGCCCAACACAGGGCTGTCAGAGGCAGGGGTGCCCTGCGACCTCTCCCAGACCAGGCTCCTGCCCCCGTGCCTCTCCAGGTCAGCCGTCCTCAGTGCCCAGAAAATGTGTCCTAACCATCCCTCACCCGACTTGTCCACGAACTTTAACAGCCCCCACAGCCCACAGCGGCGGCGTCCAACAGAACATTCTGCAAAGATGGAAACGTCCTGCACCGTTCAATCCAAGAGCTATGAACCACATGTGGTACTGAGCAGTTGAAACGTGGCTTGTGAGACTGAGAAGCTGGGTTTTAAATTTTAATTAACTTAAATTTTAATAGCCGCATGTTGGTAGTAGCTGCCTACTGGATAGTGCAGGCCTAGAGAACAGAGTCAGAATAATCCAGCCCGGCACCCGAGGCTCTAGAAACCATCCATCGCACATCTGGCACCCTGCAGCACACACCCCACACAATCCTTTGATGTCATTATTACACCTGGAGTCAGTGTGGCCTCCCCTCCCCCCGTGCCTGCGCCTGGACCACTCCCACCTCTATCTGTGCCTTCGGCTCTTTCCTGCCCTCTTGGCTGGACACCCCCAGCAGAAAGGGGTCACTCCTGGCACCCAGGCCCCTCCTCACCCATGGACAGAGGCCACGGTGAAGGGGAGATGGAAGCACACCCCTCCTTCACACTCCTAGGTGGAAAAGTACCAAAAACCAAAATGACCACAGCAGTGCCCCCCAAATATGAGGAAAGACAAAGATCCCAAACTCAAAGCCACCACATGAAGCAAAGTCAGCAGGAATTCGGTCAAAGCCACAAAGCCTTTCCCCACCCATCAAAGCTCCTGGTCACTCTCTCTGCTCACACACACGATTCTTTCAGACACTTGACGACTGTGGCTGGGCCACACATGGTTCTCCTTGGGACTGCCCCCGCCCCGCCCACGCGCTCTGCAGCAAGCCCCTTTGGACTGCTGGGTTCAAATCTCCAGCAGCCACACTTCCAGCACCTGTGCCTGCCTGAGACCCCTCACTGAGCACGTACAGCCGCGCAAGCTGCCCGCACGTTACCATCTCCTGGGCCACCTCGTCGGGGGTCTCCTTCTCGAGGTCAAAGGTGAATTCTATGGCTCCGTTGTCCTTGGGCTTCCCCTTCAGCTTCTTGGGGTCTTCCACCCAGAGCCGCAGGGCAATGGTGGACTTCCTGCCGTGGTCCTCCTCTGCCAGCTCCACCCTCACACCCGTGTCCTCCGCAAAGAAAGCATGGCTCAGCAGGTCCTTGATCTCGTACCTGGAGGGAGAGCGGCTCAGAGGCAGGGCCCAGAACAAGGGCCTCCACGCCAGACTCCTGCTGGTTGGGGTGCAGCCACAGGGGGCCATGACGAGGACACCCGTCCCTGCACTGCACCCGAGCCTCAGAGGCAGTGACCTCACGTGAAAGTTCTCTGATGTTACTACCTCATGGGCAAGCTTCTTCTCAACTCCCAGAGGACAAGGAAAAATGATGCCCTGAATATGGTCTTACTGCATAATGTTTGAAGACTTCCTTTTTCCTCCCTCATTATAAAAAGAAAACATGCTCATTGTAAGAGATTTGACAAACACAAAAAAGAACTTTGAGAAACATAAGGCCGCCCACTGTGCAGATGCAGCCCCTACAGATGAGCTTTCAATTGTCACAAGAGACATCTGGCTCCTGGGAGGACTAAAATGGAAACAGAGGAGGCAGAACCCCCACCCAGCACCATGAAGGAGGTCCTGGGCCTCCTTCAGGACAGGGGTAGGTGAGTCAGAGAGGGAGTGCTGGAGAAGAGCAAAGCGGGCGGCAGGCAGGACAGCTGGGTTGGAAGGTAAGTGACGACCTGCAGAGCCTACGGGTCCCTGGCCCAGACCCCAGTCCTGGAAGGCTTCACGCAGGGAAGCAGGCGGCTGGCTGGGTGGTGCTACGTGACCACTCTGGGACCTGCACGGCGCTGCCACCAGACAGGCACCCTGACCACTAGCTCAGCTCCCCTTCTCTAGTGTAAATGCAGTCACACGGCACACAGTTTGGGTCTGGCTTTTTCCGCGTATAACCTCTGCAGTCACCTGTGTGGTTGCACCAGCAGCCCATCCCTGTTTTTGTTTTTGTTTTTTTTTTCCCCTTTTTGTCTTTTTTCGTGTCTGGCAACGGATCGCAACCCTCAGTGTCGCGCCTGTACCGGACCGGGACCGGCAACGGGATCGCAACCCTCGGTGTCACGCCCGCGCTTCGCTCAGCCAGTGAGCGGGAACCGGTCTGTATGTGGGATCCGAACCCTCGCCGCCGCGCT